TGCAGCAGAGTCGCGAAGACGACGAGTCGACCATGTCGCAGTCCGCCGATGCCGTCCTGCTCGCCGAGTCACCGTCCACCATCAAGAAGAAAAAGAAAAAGGCATGCTCCCCATTCTTGGCACGTATGCGTGCGCTCGGCCAACTTTACTAATCAATCCCGTGTGTGTGTGGTGTGTGTGTGCGTGTGTGGGTGGTATGTCTCGCGTGTCGCTCTTCCACTCTGATGCAGAAATCCAAGTTGGCTTCCGGCGAAAGCAAGAAGTCGAGTGGCAAGAAGAAGAAATCCAAGAGTGGAGAGGGCAAGTCAAAGAAGTCCAAGTCGACCATCGCCAGACCGGGCGCCGACGAAAGCGAAGCCGCGGCCGCAGAGGGCGACAAGAAAAAGAAGAAGAAAAAGAAGAAGAAGGAGGACTCCGGCAGCACGCTGAAGAAGAGCAAGACCAAGAAGCTCAAGAGGAAGAAGACCAAGAAGTTCGCCAACCGTGCCGAGGAGCTCGCCGACATCGAGCAGGCCATCCACTCCGGCGAAGTCGTACGGCTCTCACTCTTCACTCTCGTCGCTCCCTTCGCCAACGTGCTGACCTGTTTGGGACTGATCGCTCTTTCTCTTTGCGTGCGTTTGGGCTTCGATCTGCAGCACGATGACGAGATGCGGAAGATGGTGGAGGAGATCCGTCAGTTGGAGGCCGAGACCTCCAAGCTCGAGGCCGAGGAGATACGCAAGAAGGAGGAGGAGGCCAGGAAGGTGGCCGAGGAGCTCAAGCGGCAGCAGCAGGCTGAGGGCCTCGAGGTCGATGACGACGACGACGCGACAGCGGAGGAACAGGAGGCCGCGCGCAAGGCCGACGAGGAGAAGCAGCGCCAGCTCAAGGAGCAAGAGGAGGCCCAGGCGGAGCAGCGGAAGCAGGAGGAGCAGCTGGCCACCGCTCGGCGTGAGGCAGACGAAAAGAAGAGGCAGGAGGAAGAGGAGAAGAAGCAGAAGGAGGCAGAAGAGGCCGAGGAGAGGCGCCTCAAGGAAGAGGAGGAGCGCATGAAGAAGGATACCGAAAGGAGGTACACGCACCGTGCTATTCGCTTTCACTTTCGTTGTGTGTGTGTGTGTGTGTGTGTGTGTGTGTGTGTGTGTGTGTGTGTGTGTGTGGTGTGTGCGTGCGTGCGTGTGCGTGTGTGCGTGCGTGCGGTGATGTGTGTGCCGACGTGTGCGGGCGTGTGTCGTACTCACTGGGCCAACACCGCACCATCGCATACAACAGGTTGCAGATCGAGCACAGGAAAAAGGAGGCGCTGGAGAAGAGAGCGCAGGAGAGACAGGCCAAGCTGGAGCAGCTGCGTCAGGGCATCACCATCAAGAAGCCCGAAGCCGAGGCCGCCGGTCCCTCCGCGGTACTGTGTTCCCGCTCTCGTTGGGCCTTTTTCTTCTGCTCAGTTGCGTGTGGTTGAGGGCCAGCGCTGACCATCTTTCGTTGGTACCTTAGGCCGGAGGAGTCCGCTTTGCCGTCACTGCGGCAGAGACGCCCAAGACGGCCGAGGAGAAGAAGAAGGAGCTGTTCGAACAAAGGGCACGCGAGCGCGAGGCCAGGCTGGCCGCCCTGCGTAACTTTGGGCAGCAGAAGAAGGAGGAGGCCATCAAGGAGAAGGAGGAGCTCGAAAAGGAAGCCGAGGAACGCAAGCAACGGTAACGGTCGCACTCATTTACTTTCCACCACCCACCGCCCACCACCCATCGACTAACTCGTGGCTTGTGTGCTCCGTGAGTCTAGGTTGGTTGCGCTCAAGGCCGCCTCGGTCAAGCGCTTCAACGAGAAGCACGCGGTGCTGCAGGCCATCAAGATGAAGGAAGAGGAGATCAGGCAGAAGGCCGAGGAAGAGGAAAGGGAGAGGGCAGCCCAGCAGCAGCAGAAGCAGCAGCAAGCAGAGAAGCAGCAGCAGCAACAGGCAGAGTCGGCGGCTGCCAAAGAAAAAGAGGAGCGCGACAGAAAGGACAAAGAGGAGCGCGAGAGGCAGGAGAAGGAGGACAAGGCCCGCAAGGAGCGCGAAGAGCGCGAAAAAAAGGAGAAGGAGAAGGAAAAGCAGCTGCTGCAACCTGCCAAGTCTCCCCGCGCGGTACGTCGTATTCCCTTGAAGCGGTAGAAGCTTTCTTTCTTTATCCCGTCCAGTTTTTGCTGATCTCGTGGCGGTGGTGTACAGACGGACTCACCGGCGAGGAAGGTTTCGGTGCTGGATGCGGTGACCTCCGATGGCAGCACCATTCTGGCCGCTCCGCAGAAGACCCGCGCCCGCGCACCGACCGGCAAGCGGCTCCCCACAATCCGGAGTCGTGCTGAGCGTGCCGAGGAGCGCCGGTATATATACCTCCCGTCTCTATCTCTCTATTTCCCCTTAAGCCATGGCTTCCCGACGCACTCATCGGCGGTGCGACTTGCGCGCGTGTGTTACCAATTCCAGTGAACAGCTGCGCCAGGCCAGCATTCCGCGTGCGGAGAGGCAGATCGTTCACGAAGCCTTCAAGGTGGCGCAGGTAGGCGCACGCTTGACATTTTCTCAGAAAATGAGAATGTTTTGTTGTTCAAGTCTTGCTTTGCGTTTCTCTTTCATGAGCTGACCCTGTGTTCATCGCTGTTGATATCGACAGGCCACTTTGCCCAAGTTCTGTCGCGAGTGCGGCGTGCCGCTTCGTGGTCCCTTCTGCACGGGCTGTGGTGCCAAGTGCGCTCTCCGCTAAGACACCGCTCGCGTTGGCTGCTGCTCTGCTATTGCGCCGACTGATTGAAATGTGTGTGCGTGCGCGCAGGATCGAGGCCACCGAGCTTCCCGCGTCGCCCGCGTCGGTTGCGAGGTCTAGTCCGGCAGAGGCCCAGCCTGGGTCCAGCGCTGATGCCGGCCTCACCGAGGCGGAGAAGATGCGGCAGCGCATCTTCCAACGCAAGGCCGCCGCCGCTGGCGCTGGGTCTCCCGCCGCGTCTCCCGAACCCCTGCGTGGACAGGTGGCCGAGTCGTCGCCCAGCGCCGATCCGGCTGCCGAGGAGGACTACGAGGAGATGATGCGGCGACGCCGGGCCGAGTCCATCCTCAAGAAGAAGGAGGACGAGAAGCAGGATCGCAAGAACATCATCAAGGCCTTCCACGAAAAAGCCAAAGAAAAAGGTACACTCACCACACAACATTTAATTATTATTACTTATCTTTTGCGATTGTTGTGTTAATCATGTGTTTCGCTTTTGAAGACGAAAACTTCGTGGAGAAGCTGGTGCAGCTCAAGGGCAGGCGCAAGGTGCAGTCCACGCTCATCGAGAAGACGGTCAAGGCCATGAACGAGGGCGACGCCTACCTGCTCTACTCTCGCGACACACTCTACGTCTTCTACGGCCAGGAGGCCAACCGCATGGTTCGCTTCTTCTTCTTCTTTCCACCCCGTCAGCTGGAAACCGGTGTGCTGACTTTTTGTGTGTTGGGTTGCGCGCGTGCAGGAGAAGGCCAAGGCCCTCGAGCTGACCAAGCGGATCAACTTCCACGAATGCGGCGGAAGGGCGCAGGTCGTCACCGTGCGCAGGAAGGCCGACTCCGATTTCAACGAGAAGGACGAAAAGCGCGATGCCGCCTCCAAGACCTTCTGGCAACTCCTCGTACGTCCTTTATACATATATCACTCACTCACATGGGCGGGTGCTGACTGGGCGTTGCGTTGTTGATATATATCGGCAGGGCGGAGGCAAGGAGGAGGACCTGATGTCGGCCGAGGCGGGCGGTAATGACATCGCGTTCGAGCGCACGTTCCACTCGCAGCTCACCCTCGAGAAGCTCCACAAGGTCGAGGGCCAGTTCAAGTCGGAGATGGTCGATTTCGGCACCCACCCGACCAAGGACCTCCTCGAGAAGGACAAGTGCTACCTGCTCGATTGCGGACCCGGTTCAGTCTACGTGTGGCTCGGTACATTACCTATTTTCCTTACATTCCTCTCTTATTTCCGAAATGCGTGTGTACGTGTCGTGTTGCGGCAACACACGTGCTGATGTGCGCTCTGGTTGGTATTGGCAGGAAGGAACGCCAACCCCGACCACAGGACGTGGGCCATCAACTACGCGAACGACATCCGAGGCCAGGAGGGTCGGTCGGAGTGGCTGTACATCGAGCGCGAGACCGATGGCGGCGAGTCGATCCTCTTCCGCGAGAAGTTTGTCGGGTGGGGCGAAGCCAACGAAGGTCCCTTTGGCAGCCCCATCCCCGGCGGCGGCAGTCCCATCGCTCTCAAGAAGGTACGTACCTCCCCTCTCGGCTTGTGGTCGGCAGCGTCTGTGCACTCGGTTGACGTGTGTGGTATCGTAACTACGCGAGCAGAAGAAGACCGGCACGCTGAACAGAGTCAAGTCTCGCGTGCGCCTGACATCGGCCCTGGAGAAGCGCAAAAAGGAGCAGGAGAGAGTCGACATTCGCGCTCTGCACACGGGTGTTCGCCCAGTCCTCGATGTCCCGTGGTACGCGACCTAGCTCTCTATCGCGTATGTTAGTGTTGGTTGGTACTACGGCCGTTCTCACATGTGATGGATTGCGCAGGGCGAACGACGACGGTCAGAGCGGCACGCTGGAGATGTGGATCGTGAACAACAAGACCTACGAGCTCGAGGAGTACTCCAAAGAGAAGCACGGCATCTTCTACAGGTGCCTCTTCCCCCCATCAGAGCCCTTTCTCTTTTTCTCTGGGTCCCACACGCGCGCTCACTGGGGAGGGGCGTGTTTTCGTGTAATGCAGCGCGGAGGCCTACGTCATGCTGTGGACCTACCGGCACGGCGGTTTCACGGGGCAGTCGGAGCAGATCCGTTGGCTCATCTACTACTGGCAGGGTGCCCACGCCTCTCGGCAGGACAAGGTACCACTCAAGTCAACCTTTTATTTGCGTGGTCGGGGGTGGTGGTACGGTGGTGGTGCTCACTGCAGGCTGTGTACACAGGGCGCGGCAGCGATGAAGACCAAGGACATTTTGGACATCGTCAAGCGGAGGGGAGGTGACGCCGACACCGTGCGCGTGGCTCAGGGCAAGGAACCGCTCCACTTCCTCAAGCTCTTCCAGGGACGCATGATCGTGCATCTCGGCCCTCAGTACGTAGTCAGCTACACCTGATGGACTTGCGCGCGACGCAATGCACAACGCTCACCATGGTCCCCTACGCCTCACGCAGGGGGAAGCACAGCGCAAAGAAAGACGCGCTGTACCACGTGCGGGGCCTGGCGGACGCGTTCGCCATGCGGGCTGTACAGATACCGGCCAAGAGGAAGTGGCTCAACTCGCGCGACTGCTTCCTGCTCACCTCTGGCGGCAAGCAGTTGTTCCTGTGGCAGGGCGAAGGCGCCTCCGACGCGCTCCGTCGCCAGGTTACTGTCCTTGCCGACGTGCTCGCCAAGGTACCCGACCACACACACACACACACACACACACACACACACACACACACACACACACACACAACTGTGGCCACTGCGGCGCCAACCAGTGCTAAACGTTGGGATGCGCGTGACAGGACCTGGGGCGAACCAGCGCGCCGGTGGTGGTCCGCGAGAACCTGCCGAGCAAGGAGTGGGAGAAGGCCATCGGCAAGAAGCAGGAGTACCCGTGCGCGCCACACCTCAAGCGAAGTCATGGCTGGCGGCCGCGTCTCTTCGTGTGCTCCTCCACGAGCGGCGAGTTCCGCGTCGACGAAGTGTTTGACTACGCCCAGGAGGACCTCGAGGTACACCACTTGTGGTACCCCATTGAGAGGAGGGAGTTAACTACTGGGCTGTTTGCTGATGAACTTCTTTCGCCGCTGGCGGTGCACAGCCGAGCAATATCTACCTCTTGGACGCGTGGGCCGAAGTGTTTGTGTGGATCGGTTCCAAGTCCTACGAGGAGGACGAGCGCATGGCCATGGAGACTGCCGTGGTATGGGCTCCTCCTCTCGACGTCGACTATCTAACTGCCTTCAACAACGCGTCTCACCGCGTGCCTTTTCTCAGGCGTACGTGCAAGGCGCCACCGACGGCCGATTGTTGGATGCGCCGGTGTATTCGATCAGAGAAAACGACGAAAGCCTCGAGTTCACGTGCCACTTCCAGGCCTGGGACGATGGTGAGCCACCTTTGCACCCGCCCCCCCCCTCTTTTCTTTCTCTCTCCTCCGAGACATAAGACCGGAGCTTCTTCTGACCGTCGTGGGCACTCTCTCTGCAGGATGGGGAGCGGAACTGGTCAAGGGCAAGAAGAAGGCCAGCAAGAAAAAGAAGACCGAGACTCAAAACGTGCGTGCGCTGCTCGCCGAACTCAACCGGGTCTACACGTACGAGGAGCTCAAGGCCAAGCCCCCGCCGAAGGTACGAGCGTGCTATGCTATCGGCGATCTGAATGATCTCGCGGCCTGTTCTAACCACCACCACCATGTGTGACGCTGCACCATTACAGGGCTTGGACAAGACGAAACTGGAGCAGTACCTGAGCGAAGAGGAGTTCAAGACGGTGCTGCAGATGACCAAGGACGAGTTCTACGCCCTGCCGCCGTGGAAGCAAAACAAATTGCGCCAGCAGGCCAGCCTCTATTAGAGTTGCGTACATAACCAAGTTCCCTGATTTGTACCCGCTCGCCCCGAGGGGCGCAGGCCTTCAAGAAGATGAAACAAGGCAAATTTATGAATCAAGCGAGCCCGTGCTGTCATCAGGGGGCATGCTTGTCTGCCACGTGCACAATGACGACGGCGACAATGACGCCGTCGTCATTGTGCACGTGGCAGACCCGCGTGTGGCAGTTGGTCGATCAGCACACCAGCGGAGCAAAAATACGGAGCAAAATGGAGTTATTATTGCGAAAGTTTGGGCGCCGAACCGAAACGCTTCAGCCCAAACCGAAACGGCTGTGCGGCGAACCGGCTGTCGACACAATTTCATTGCTGTTGCCCAGCTGGGCAAGTCTGTTTCTTTTGCACACCCACGACTGGCAACAACACAACAACGTGATGCTGCACTTTGGCAAGAAGAACGCGACAAAAAGCAAGCGAGGTTCCTTCTCCTCTTTATTTAGTCTCATTCAGTCCATTATTCATTTTCTATATTGATATACGCAGGGGTAGAGTGGGAGGGGCGCACCAATTGGAACCAACTGGCCACGGGCGGCGAGGCACCGCCGGCTCGCTATGGCCACTCCCTCGTCACCATCCAAGCGCCCGCTTCTAAGGGCTCCGGCACGGCGGCGTCGTCGTCGGTGATACTCTTCGGCGGGTCCAACCAAGTCGAGTTCTCCAACGAGGTCTTTGCGCTCTCGTGGCGCGACAAGCGCTGGCGCGTGCTGCAGGAGGGCGGCCCTGACGAGGACGCGCCGCCCGCACAGCAAGGCGGCGCCGCGGCGACGATGCCCATCAAGCGCCACTTCCACACGGCCGTCGTGTGGCCCAACCCGGCGGCCGCTTCCTCGTCAAACGGCGAACCGAACGACACCTACAAGAAGGAGAAGAAGGAAAAGAAGGACAAGAAGGAGAAGAAGGAGAAGAAGGGGAAGCAGAAGTGCGAAGAAGAGGCTGAAACCAGCAGCAAGGAGGAGGAATCGGAGGAGGGAGGAGAGGAGCCCTCGCCGGCCGGCAAGATGTTCGTCTTCGGCGGCAAGAGCAACGGCTACCTCAACGACCTCTGGCAGTTCGATCCCGGTTCGTCCTTTGCTTTTTGCGCAAACAAAACCAACTCTTTGTTCGTGACCTGACGACCACGACCTTAACAGAGGCGAATACGTGGGAGGAGGTGAAGCCGGCGGATCAAGCCAACCGGCCGCCGGTGAAGCGCTACGGCCACAGCGCGGTGGTGCGCGATGACGAGATGTGGGTGTTCGGCGGATTCGACAGCGATTCGTGGACCTGCTCCGATCTGTGGTCCTTCCACTTTCGTATGCGACATCTCTCCTCTCTTGGGGTGTGAGCTCGTGATGGATGTGAAAGGCATGCCGACACTCACACTCGTGTCGCTGTGTGCGTGTACAGTGAACAAGGAGTGGAGGCGATCCGAGTTCAAGAAGAACAAGCCGGCACCCGCACCGCGGTTCCAACACTCAGCGGTGTACAGCAGGGCACGCGACCGCATGTTCGTGTTCGGAGGCCAGGGCGACAAGAACGCCGTCATGGCCGATCTGTGGAGCTTTGACTTCAGTTGCGTGTCCCTCTCTCTGCTCTCTAACTTTCACTTGCTCATTTTTATGGGCGAGCTGCGCATCTCATCTGCTGCTTGTTGGCTGCTGATTGTTGTTGTTGGGCTCAATCAGAAAAATGCAAGTGGGAGCAGCTGGGCTGCACCCCGCAAGCGCCCGGCGACGCAGCGAAACAGAAGGACAGCAGCAGCAAGCCGCTGGATGCGTCGCAGGGACCAAGACCAGAGGCGCGGTACGGCCATGTGGCACTGTGCGACGCGCAAGGCGAGAACATGGTCGTCATGGGCGGCTTCAACAAGCAAGAGGCCTTTGCCGACATCTGGCAGTTCCACTTCGGTACACTTTTGCACTTAACCACGCCCGCACCGCGCCGCACAAGTGTGAACAAGAACAGTTGCTTGACCTAACCTAGAACCTCACTTCCCCATTACCAACAGCGACCGGAAAATGGAAGAAGTGGGAGGTGCGCGGAACTGCACCGCGCGGCATGGTGTTCCATGCGGCGACGTGGATTGACGAGCTGACTCTGTTCACGTTTGGCGGGCGCGATGGCCAATCCCAGTTTTTCGACGATGCCAAATACCGTACCATTTCCTACCAGTTGTGTGCGTGTGCGTGTGCGTGTGCGTGTGCGTGTGCGTGTGCGTGTGCGGTGATGCGAATGGATGCGGGTTGTGCGTGCGAATGTGTGCGTGTATGTGTGTGCAATTGTTGACCACTGTGCTTACCCTCTGCGTTGGCCAGTGGTGTTGCCCCAGCCGGAGGCGATGAACGACAAGAAGAAGGGAGGCAAGAGAAACAAGAAGTCCCAACGTGGACCAGATCTGGAGGCGCTGGTGCCAGATGAAGTGCTGCTCCTCATCTTCTCCTACCTCCGCAACGATGTCACTTCCCTGTGCCAGGCTGCTTGCACGTGTCGAAGGTATGTCATTAAGGCTGTGGTACGGTGGTACGAAAAATCATGTTAACTGGTGAGGCGTGCTTGCGTGCGTGCGTGCTGACCTGGAAAGGTGGAACATGATGATCACGCTGGAGAACGCCCTCTGGGTGGATGCCGTTCAGGCTATTCCCCAGTTGGCCTGGAGAAATTTGCACCAGTTCCGCGATGTGCCTGGAGGCATGCGTGGTGTATTGGCCGATGAAGCTCGCGTACACAACCTACCTCATGCTGTTGCTGGTGTGCGTGTGCGTGTGTGCGTGTGTATGCGTGTGCATGTGCGTGTGCGTGTCCGGGCGTGTGGATTCACAAACCTGTTAATTAACTAATTTAAACATCTTTTATAGGAGCGGAGAGAACTAATGGAGAGGCTCGGCAACGTGCATGCTGACTACCTCAAGCATGCGCACCAAAGCCATCCACTGGGTTACGTGCAGGACTCAAGGGAGGCCCCATGCGGAACATCAAACTCGTGGTTGTGGTACGCCAACAACGTTAACCCTAACTCTCTCTTTTCACATGGCCATTCTGGCCAAACTGTTGGCTTCAAGAGGTTGTGCCTCACACCTTCTTCCTGTTATTCGTTCCTCAAGGGCGATGGAGCCGTGGGCAAGACAAGTACCATGATCTCTTATACCACGAACAGCTTCCCGCACGAGTACATTCCGACAGTGTTTGGTGCGCAACAACGCTTGATGCTGAACAAAGCTCTTAATGACATACTCCCGCACACTAATATGTTGTTGTTGACCCATATTTTATTACAGATAACTATACAGCCAATTTGGTGGTACACGGGGTACCCATCAACCTTGGTCTCTGGGACACTGCTGGACCCGAGGTGTGTTCCCCTTTGCTCTTGGACGTTCTTTTCATTCTGCAATGGGTTCCTCAGAGGATTTGTTCACCCCGGGGTCCTGCTCTATTCTTACGATCAATTGGCAAACAGGATTACGACCGGCTGCGGCCTCTCAGCTACCCACAAACGGATGTGTTCCTTGTGTGCTTCAGTCTCACCAATAGGTGCTCGTTTGAAAATGTCAGATCTAAGGTACACATACACCACCGCATCTTCCACGTTGCTGTTTGCTCAACGACGTTGTGTGTGTGGTTGCTTGTGGGCAGTGGGTGCCCGAGATTGCACACCATTGTCCTGGCACGCCGTTCATTCTTGCCGGCACCAAGCTCGACCTGCTGTCGGGCGAGAGTGAAAGCAGCGTGAGCACCCTCAAGGTGCTTGCTGACAAGAAGATGCCTCCTGTCTCCTTTGAAGAGGTGCCCTACGTCCCTCTCTTCTCCACCAGACATGCCTGGAGGTCATTCACGTTGTTTACTCACAGTACGACTGTGTGATGGGAACAACAGGGTACCAAGATGGCGCAGGAGCTGGGCGCCACTGGGTTCATCTCGTACTCATCGCTCACGCAAACCAACCTCAAGCTCCTTTTCGATGAGTGCATCAAGGCTGCACTCCGTGGTGGGCCTGGGCCTGCGCCGCAGGCTGGCAGGGGAGGTTGTATAATGAGCTAAAGGTGGTTCTTTCCGACAACCCTGAGCCAAGTGTGCCCAGCAACTGACCTCCGCCATCCCTCGCTGGGCGGTTGACCTTGCCGCCATCGCGTGAGGGCGATGATAATAAATTTGCCATTCACACACCGACACACTAACAGATTCCACTACCGACTGGATCTTCGCAGGCGTTGCCCTGGTAAGGGCATCCTGCTGAAGGAGTCCCTCGGCTCGTTGGAGAAACCAAGAGGGCCAACTCGGCAAGGACATTGATGGGTACAGCTACAAGCCTGGACTGAGTGAGAGCTATGACAAGCTACTCCCTTCGTTTGTGCACTCATGCACATACAACGCACATGACACACACTACATGCGCAGATGTCAAGTGAAGGCAGTGGACTGGCTTAAGAAAAAGAACAAGCCCAAGGCGAGTGCAAGCAAAGGCTGCAGTCAGTCCTCGACAAGCAACTGTCGTTCATTATTGAGAACATTCACCAGATCCTCCACACCATTGAACAGACCCGAACTGACAAGGAGGTACCATCACACACCTTTTTGCCACAAGCCCATATCCAACTAAGGCCGTGTTGTGTTTTGTGTGATCAGATGATCAACCAATTCAAGCTGGGCGTGGATACGCTCCGCGTCCTCCGTCTGTCTGGGCTGCTGCTGCTGTCGGACGGGAGTGGCGGCCGCAGCGGCGACAGGGATGGCAGCGGTGGGGAGAGGAAGCGCTGTGGCGACGAGCTGGGCAAGCTCCTCCTCAAGCTCAGCCTTGTTGACTGAGCTGAGCTGCTACTGGCTGGAGGAGATGGCATCATCAATCTCCCGCTGGTCGAGCATGACCTGGTCCACGGCCTCCACAGTCACCCCGGACTCCTCGCGGACTTGCTTGAGCGCCTTTGGCCGGCATGCCCTCGGTGCAGCACCTGCCTGACCTGGCCAAGGTGAAGAAGGCCGAGCAAGAAGATGAGAACGACTCCCTGCCCAATCTCGATTCGCTCCAGTTTGCCGGCTGAGCGCTCTTGGGGTGGCGAGTGAGATGATGGCCTCCCCCAACCTCTCCTTTTTGAATGACATACTTTCTTTTTGCAAGCCCAATCGAGGTTGGTTGGTCCTCTCGTCGAAGAAACTACACCACTTTCCTTAAAGGTCACAACTCGTTACCTTTTTTTCGGACCAATCAGGCAAGGCGGAATTCCGTCAGGCTAGGATTGGCCGAGCACTCTGCCTTTTTTTCTGACCAATCGCTTGGTTGTTCCACTTCCAGAACGCTGACGGTTTCGGCAGTTTGGCATGGGTGCCTGCACAGGGCCAGACGTCGACTGACTGGCCCGCAAACCGCTGGCCCGGTCAGTTCAATACCTACCTTCCGCATCTTGAGGAGACACAGAGAGAGGAGAGATGAGCAAGAAGACGTACTCTGCCCCGGACCTGGATGACATCGAAGCGCCCCAGGCCCTGCAGCGCACCAAGAGTACCTCCTCTGCAACGGAAGACCAAAATCAACGAAGCAGCTGCAGCGGTGAGTCGGTCGAGGAGGTGGACGAGAGGGTACTCCTCCTTCTTCTGTACATTTTGCTATCTGCAGGCTAAGACTTGAACATTTTGATCAAGCAGGAGATGAAGATGTTCGGGGAGGACAAAGATAGCGGGGAGGAGGAGGAACACGAGGACCCCAGCACAGTGGACTACTTGGACAAGGAAGATGATGACGACGACAACCCGAA